TGTGTTGAGTAAGACGGGCCTTTTAATATGGAAGCTGTTGGGGGGAAATGAAACATCAGGTTGCTTTCCTGCTGCTAGGCTGGGAGTATTTTTAGCTTTTGCCTTATTAAGTGTTGGCAGAAGCCTGGCAATGTCATCAAATACCAATAGTGGCTGTTACTTATTGAGCATTTGCTATATCAGGTCCTTGGCTAAGTGCTTTACATGCAGGACCACCTTAGGTCCCGAGGTTACGCTTGTTCTGTAGATGAGGAACCTTCGGCTCAGAAAGGCAAAAAGTGTGTCCAAGTACGTGGCTGAGCTCAGGTTAAAACACAGACTGCCCGACTCCAAAGCCTGCGTGCACCTGCCATGCCCATGACCCACTGAGCCCTCCTCTTGTTTTTATCTTTACGTTAGCCAGCAAATTCTAGATAAGTGAAAATCTGAAATCCTTGTGTTTAAAAAGGTTCTTCCTAATGTCCTCACTTCTGCTCTCCGGTTGTCCTTTTATGCATTTGAGAGAGCGGGTATGGGTTAGGTGAGTGGGGTTGGAGAGATGGAGTCCTTGCCAGCTTTGCCAGCTCTGTGCCCGGGATGCTGTAGGAGACAAGGAACTGACAGTGTGGCGTTTATCAAGATGGGCACTGCCACAGAGTGTTGTCCACCATGACCCTGACCCCCATCCAGGGTGAAATTGAGCCCCGACAGAAACCACTGCTAAGTTGGGATCCCAGCTGCTGCCACAAGTGACATTTGAAAGGCCAGTTGATTGCACATTTGTCAGCCCCGGGCAGGGATGGTTGTTAAGCCTGGCCCAGGGGCAAGCTGAAAATGTACGCACGAAACGCTGACACCTGGCAGGCTACTTGGGGCGGACTTGGTTGGCTTTGGTGTGGTTTTGGTTGAGACCCGATTCTGTGAGCTAATGCCTCCCCTCCAGCCATTCTCCTTCTCTCTGGTAAAGGACATGCATCTGAAGGCCTGGGATGGTTGCCCCAGGAAATGCCTGTTCTCACGGCCATTTCTACACAAATTGTGAAGCCACACTCTCTGGAAGAAATGAGCAGCAGATGGGTTAGTCATTGGGATCTCACGACCTTCGGCGGTGTAAATGCCACTGCGCGAGTCTGGCTTCGTTTTCTTAAGTTCTGTCAGTGACCTTTGAAGTCGCGCTCACAGATCTGATAGGTCACAATGAGACACCGGCTGGTGGCATTTCCCTGTGAAGGGGCTTCCATTTCCTTTGGTTAGCACAGCCGTATGGAAGTGTGCGAGTCTGGCAGTCCCGCGTGTTGGTGGGTGTGGAGCCACTGGCACCTTGCTAGTGGGACCACAGAGTGGACACCCAAGTGGAGAATCCATAAAGTTAAATGCAGTATGTGCTCTATCATCCAGCAATTCTGGTCAGAGAAAACTTACACATGTTCCGAGAGGCATGTGAGGATGTTCAGGGTAGCGCTGTTTAGAAAGTTGGAAACAATTGCCCGCTGGCAGGAGAGCGGATAAGTAAAGCTGGTCTTATGGGACACAGGGCACCACAGCACCAAGAATGAAAGCATACCTCTGCTTCCGCAGGGCAATTGTCAGGCCTACTGGAGAGTGAAACACGGGAGCATAAGAATATTTATTGTCTCCTACCATGCATGCGAAGCTCACAGGCTTACACATTAAGCTGTACTTAGAGATAAACTGTCACAAAAAGGAAGGGATAAGCACAAAAGTCAGAATCCTGGGGACCTATTGTTGGGTTTATTGGGATGCAACCCAATCCTAAGTCAAGGAGCATCTGCATATTTAGTATGAAATCTTCCAAAATTTTGTTTTGATTTCAGTGCTAAAAAATCTCCAAAGACACATACACAGAATCTGCAGTGTAACTTCCTAAGGGAATAGTCAGAGGATAATATGAGAGTGGTTGGGGAGGCTTACCTGGCACACTGCCGTAGTGTCAGCATCTGCCCCAGATGACTGATGACTGATGTGCGTGAGGGACGTGAGAAGAGGGGCGGGCAGTGTGTGTGTGTGTGTGTGTGTGTGTGTGGTTGTGTGTGCAAGATAACCCTGAGAGAGCTGCCCCCTGTTGCTTTCTTCCACCTGCTGTCACTGGTCATTGTGCTTTATCATCTCTCAGAGGCACAGCTTGGATGACCTTGCAAGGTCACCTGTAACCTGTGTCGCTAACCCATTATTTCAAGGAAAAGGTGACAAGCAACCTCCAAGTTAGAACCTGCCCTGGTTCGTGCTGTCCTTGATTCCAGAGCTGAGGAGGTTGGTGTCATTACAGAGAACCTGCTTTCTCCACTTGCGGTGTCATGTCATGTGCGACAGCTGGCTGTTGGGAGGCTGTCACGTACTCGGAGGAGAGATTTATTGGTAGATCCAGCACTTTATTTAAATGCTGATGTTGAGTCCAAGCTCTGCCCAAGACAGAACTTGGGGCTGTAGCTGGCAGAGCAGAGGGAGTGCTGTGCCTGGCTTCAGTTTGCTCTCGGGGGGAGATGCCCTTAGTTGGTCCTCGGTGGTGATCAGGACCAGCCCTGCAGGTGCAGGAGGAACCTGAGAGGTATTTTGGGGCCTCCACACCTTGCTTGCCTATTCTGGTTTGCTCGTGGTTGTGATGGCACAGATGTAAATCTGGCCAGCACCTCAGCCCCATGCCTGCCCATATAGCAACGCGGGGTAGCAGGCTGGAGGAGTTGGGAGTTGGCTCACCCAGCCCATGTCTCTGAAGACCTTTGACCACCAAAGCAAACCAAAGAAATCATGCATCCTGCCTAGACTTCCCCATTTGTGTGTGTTGTTTTTTGCCCTGCTTTCAGTCTTACTTGCCAGGGAGGAAGTCACAGGTTAGTACATTGCTCTAACCTCCCATCTGACTTGGAACCTACCTGGAGATGTGCTGTGACTTTAGGCTGCTGAGACCAGCATCAGGGGGAGTGCAACGGGCCCAGCACAGGAGGAGGCACAGGGTGGGAAACAGATGAACAGGTGAGGGCCGATGAGACCTCTGGTCAGTGCTGGAGGAAGAGGACGGCATTTGTAAGGCCCTCCATTCCTCGGGCCGTGCATTAAGTGTGCAGGGCAGTAGCGTAGCCTGATGCAACTTCTGCAGGCAGTTGGTAAAATCAGCGCTCAGAGCTCCATCAGCCTTGCTGCTCACCCAAACCATGTGGTTAGGTTAGCTCCCTGCACTGAGCAGGTGCCTGGCCGTGTCTGCTGGCAGCCTCTCATTTAATCTGCATCACATTAGCCATCTCAAGAACAGTGTTATCAGTGCCATTTTCCAGACAAGGAAACTTCAGACTTAGAGAAGTGACTTTGAACTATTTTAACCCAAACAGTGTGCCTACAAAGCTCACTCTTTTAACTAGCACATGAATGATTAGATCAGTCACTTCATTTTAAAGTGTAAAGAAGGAAGTATAAACTGTATAGAGGCCCCACCCAGCTTGGGTGGGGAAGAAGAACAGGGCAGAGGGGAGCTGGAGAAATCACACCACCTCAGTTTATCTACTTTGAATCCCTATGTTTTCTTCTAAGAGTTTATAGTTTTAACTCTTAATTTAGGTCTTTAATCCATTTTGAGTTCACTTTTGTGTATGGTGTGAGGTAAGGGCCCAAACTCATTCTTTGAATATCCAGTTGTCCTAGCACCATTTGTTGAAAGAATACTAATTCCCTCATTGTATGGTGTTCACATCCTTATCAAAAATCAATTGGCCATAGACACATGGGATTATTTCTGGATTCTCAATTCTTTCTGTTGTTCTACATGCCTCTGCTTATGCCAGTACCATGCTGTCTTCATTTCTCTAACTTCGTAGTAGTAAGTCTTGAAATCAGGAAGTGTGAATCCTCTAACTTTATTCTTCTTTTTCCAGATTGTTTTGGCTATTCTGAGACCCTTGTATTTCCATATTAATATTAGGATTAGATTGTTAATTTCTGCCCCCCACCTACCCACCCACCCCCAAATAGCCAGCTGGGTTTCTAATAAGGATTACATTGAATCTGTAGATCAATTTGCGGTGTTTGGCATTTTAACAATATTAAGTCTTTTGGTTTATGAACATGGGCTGTCTTTCCTTTTATTTAGATTGTCTCTAATGTCTTTCAACAATGTTTAGTAGTTTTCAGTGTATAAGTCTTGTATTTCTTACGTTAAATTTATGCCTAAGTATTTTATTCTTTTTGATGATATTGTAAATGGAAGCTTTTTAAAATTTCATTTTGGAATATTCATTGCTACTGTATAAAAATGAATTTGATTTTTGTATATTAATCTTATGTCCCGTGACCTTACTGAATTTATGTCTTAGTACTAATAATTTTTTAGTGGCTTGCTTGGGATCTTCCACATACAAGATCACATCATCTACAAATAGAGATAGTCTTATATCTTCCTTCCCAATCTGGATGGCTTTTACTGGAATACTGGAGTACAACATCCAATAGGAGTGAGAGGGACGGACACCCCAGTCTTGTTCCTGATCTCAGGAGAAACCACCCAGGCTTTCACTATGTCCCAGAGGGTTTTGAACACCTTTCTTCTATTTCAGCCTCACTGCCAACTCAGAGGCCTTGCCCCTATCACTTGTTGCAGCTCCTGAACCAAAAGATGAGGGAAGAGGTTGATTCAAAAGAGCCTTTCTCTCTAGTTCATGCATCCTATACTTTTGTGAGTCTGCTTTGGTGTTCATTCTCCTTGGCCAGCTTGCTCGAACTTTGGTTAGATCATCATACAGACTCCATAAGGACAGTTGGGAATATTTGCCAATTCTTTTTCCCTACTTATTTCGACTGACTTTGACTTCCACAAATCTAAACAACCTACCCTAGAGACGGAAAATGCAAATATTGAAACGTGTTATCAGAATTGTTTTAAGGAGTCCCTACTCTTCTCCGCTGTAGCTCTGAACAGCTGGGGGAAAGATTCGCATTGAGACGATGCTCATGTCCACGAAAGGTGCGTGAAGTTCCCCCCTGCCTCTAACAGTCGGCACCCTCTTTGTTTCCAGACTCCCAGCGTTCTCATCTCTCCTCCTTCACCATGAAGCTGATGGACAAATTCCACTCGCCCAAAATCAAGAGAACGCCATCCAAGAAGGGAAAACCGGCCGACGTGTCTGTGAAGACTCTGGAGAAGCCTGTGAGCAAAGTAAGCTGCCTCTGGCACCGCTCTGCTTCGGCAGTGAGGGTGTGTGCTTGCTGCACACCGTTCCCTGGGGGCTGAGCTCTAGCACAGACACCTGCTCCCCAGGATTCCACGTTGCAGGGGGGCCTCCCGCGCTCTTGTGACGTGGGAGCCTGTAGGGTGTGAGTGTTTCTCACGTTAATCAGAGTCGAGCTCAGTGGCTAGAACAGTTCTCCTTTTCCAGATGTGCCATCTCTGGGCACTTAACACAGCTCAGTGCATCATGTTCACATTCAAGGTGCTGCCTCCCTGCCCTAGAGAGCCCCACACTGCCCGGGCGTGGGCACACACTCGGGGACGTTTGTGATGTCCAGAACATCCTTGCTCTGAGACATGCAAAATCCTTGACACCAGAGGTGTCCTCAAGCACTAGTCACCTCAGCAGGGCCAGTTAAGCAGATGTGTTGACATAGCTGTTGATTTCATCAACCCCTTCTTCAGCCTAAAACGGCCATTTCAAGCTCTGTAGGAATCCAGGTTTCCTCTCTTCCAGGAGGCAACAGACAGATTTCTACCAGAGGGCTACCCTCTCCCCTTGGATCTGGAGCAGCAGGCAGTAGAATTTATGTCCACCAGTGCTGTGGCTTCCAGGTCTCAAAGGCAGAAGGTCAGTGTGATGTTAAGAACATTGGGTTTGCCTTGCCTTCTACTGCAGAATCCTGGCCCATGGTTTTGGGGATGGAAAAACATCTATTACAGTATCATTGTGTTCAATTGGGTGGCAACTATGGGCTTAATTGTTCAGAAAATAGTCCAAGGGACTTTGGGTAAAAGTAAGTTTACCCAGATCCCCCTGGTCTTTGGAGAGAGTGCAGTCTTCCATGGTGACAGCTCGGGGATCCTCTCTGGGGCTGGTTTGGGTGTGCTGCTTGGGCCCAGCGGGTTCTGGAGGAAGTGAGTGATCTCACCTGTGGAGCTCAGCTGTTCTTTCCTTGAGCTGCTAAGATGCTCTGAATCGCAAAGGAAAGGAAGGGCGTCTAAAGTGTCTGGTGCCGTCAGACTGGTGCGGCAGCCACAGACCCAAGTGCTCTGAGAGCCAGGCTGCTTTGGGCCACGGACATTTATCAGCCTTTCCTTAGCCCCATGCAGAGTGCTTCACACTCGTTCTCTTGCTTAACCCTCAGAACAACCCTGGGAGGTGGAGGCTTACTTTGCAGAAAAGGAAACTGAGGCTGTAGAGATATTAAATGTTTGGCGAAAGGCGCACAGAGAGGATGGTGAAGCTGAGATTTGAACAAGGTTGTCTGACATCTGAGTCAAAACTCTCGAGGTGCCACCTTTCCTGTTTATGGAAGCCAGAGTTTATTTTTCAATATCTCCCAAACGTAAATGTTAACCCCACACATAACTAAACATAAAAACAAAATCAAGCCCTAACCGGTTTGGCTCAGTGGGTAGAGCGTCGGCCTGCGGACTCAAGGGTCCCAGGTTCAATTCCAGTCAAGGGCATGTACCTTGGTTGCGGGCATATCCCCAGTAAGGGATGTGCAGGAGGCAGCTGATCGATGTTTCTCTCTCATTGATGTTTCTAACTCTCTATCCCTCTCCCTTCCTCTCTGTAAAAAATCAATAAAATATATTTAAAAAAACAACAACAAAACAAAAAAACAAAATCAAATTTAGCGATATGAACTAAAAACAAGGCTTGTGGACAAATACTAGTAGGTCCTTAATCCTCTGTGATTGCCCAGAGCCCACAGCCATCATCAATTCAGCGCCACTGGCAAAGCCCTGCCCTGCTATGTAAACACATCATTCTTGAATTTGCCAGCGCATCTATTTTTGTTTTTATGTTCAGCAAAATACCTTAAAATCCTAGTTAAAAGTGGAGGAAATAAAGGTCTTAAATCTAAGTCTTTTGTTGAAGAATCCTTTTTTTCCTGCCCCATCTGTTAACAACAGGAGGCTGAAGAGTAAGCGTGAAATGTTGAGTGTTTGCCAGATTGATCCAAATTCCAGATTGAAGAAGAGTAATAAAGTAGATTTGGTCTGCACCACAATTATTTTTTATGACGCTCTGTGTAGCAGTCTCTTGGAGCTGAATTTCTTCCTGAAGTCCAGGCAGTGTGTCCGTGTCGTCTAACACTGGTCCAGGCAGCACAGGGTAAAATGATTTACTCACAACTGTGTTCTCCCAGTGAGCTCGGATAAGAGACTGCTTCAGTCACTCAGTTCTTGGAATTCCCTCCCCTTTCTTCCTTATTTCAAGAGAGGTCATGGGGGCGATGTGGGGGCGAGAGAGATTGCATGCTAAAGTGCCCTTTACTTAGCGGGGCTTCCTGTAAACTCCAGGGCACATTGGGCAATGTTTAGAGACGTGTTTGGTTGTCACAACTAGGAAGGTGAAGCAGGAGCTACAGGATCTGGTGGGAAGAGGCCTGGGATGCTGATAAACATCCCACAATGCATAGCACAGCCCCCAACTCCCAGACAAAGAATCATCCACCCCAGAATGCCAGTGGAGCGCAACTGAAAAACCCTGTTCTGTAGCAGGGAGCTGCAGTGTGATCTTTACCGAAGGAAGAATGTTGCTCAGCTTTTGATCGCCGCCCTTTAAGAAGGGCTGAGTTACTACTGTGCTCTGCCCCAAGTCACCTGCCTGAGACAGAGTGAGTACGACTGTGTTGTGTAAGACAGGACTGGACGTGTTGGGAAGCTGCCAGAGTGTGTGAACTTGGAAGACTGTCAGAGAAATCTTACAATAAGTCTGTCATTTATTACATTAATTATTTATTACTTATTAGCTCTCAGTACTTAGGGAATATTTCCATATACATTGCCTTGTTATTGCAGTTTATATACATGGCTTTCCTGTTTAAATACATGGGAAGTTGCAGCTCGGGGTCGATGCATACACTCAGATTCATCTGCAGCTGCTGGACGGCCTCTGTCCTGGGTGATTTTACATGCTGTCTTATTTACTCCTCACCATGACCATGTGCAAACGCTTTTATTATTCCTGATATACAGAGAGTTGGGAGTCTGGCCCAAGTTTTCCCCCATCAAATCTGTTTTCCCCTTAAATGTTATGAAATCTTTCCATATGCATCCTCATTCGGTCCCCACACCAACCTCTTGATCCCCTGGGCAGGAATTCTCCTCCCCCTTGTGAGGATGAGGAGCCTGGAGCCCACTGGTCCCAAGCCCAGTGGTGTCTTTGGATGCCCTCCACAGCACCGCTGCCCTCCAGTAGTTGCCAGGTTTGTTGGGCGATGGTGGTACCCTTCCCCCATGGCAGGCACCGCAGGAGGATGCGTCTGCCCAAGGAGGTTCTGGGCTGGGAGCTCCAGCAAAGCCACGCCTCAGGGTCCTGCTTGTAGGGAGTGCTTGCCGAGAGCCCATTGGAACTCCCTGACTGACTGCTTTTTGCAAGAAGCCAGTTGACAGCTGCAGGGCGAGGGGAATGCAGTGCTCAGAGGCCTTTAATCTGGGAGTGGAATTTGCCGGGGAGTTAATGGAGGAAACCTGATTCTGCTAAGTTGTCACTCCTTCATTAGGAGCCCAGGGTGCCCGGCTCTTTGCGAGCTCATTTGATCTTCCCACAAAGGACGGGAAAGTTCTTTTGCTCTGAAGCGCCTGGCCCCTTTTGGATGGCTCCTGGCTGCAGGTCAGCCCCATGCTCCCCAGCAAACCTCTTGAAGTGTCTCCTGCTTCCTCCCCACATTTCATTGTGGCGGGCTCCTCCCACGTCCTGATCTGAGATGGCCGGGCTGTGGTCACAGTCCTCTAGCGAGGCTGGCCGGCCATGATTCCAGGCACATTTGGTGTCCCCAGGCACCTTGATTCCTTCACACTTGGGTTCCTGAGGCCCCGGTGGGGGCGGTGAAGCAGGCAGCTCTTGTCCTGAGGTAGGGAAGCAAGTGCCCGGCCTCTGGGAAGAGGCAGTAAATAAACAGGTATGTTGGAGTGAAAAGAGAGGCTTGGCCCTGGCCGGTTTGGCTCAGTGGATAGAGCATCAGCCTGTGGACTGAAGGGTCCCCGGTTCGATTCCAGTCAAGGGCATGTACCTTGGTTGCAGGCACATCCCCAGTAGGGGGTGTGCAGGAGGCAGCTGATCGATGTTTCTCTCTCATCAATGTTTCTCTCTCATCGATGTTTCTAACTCTCTACTCCTCTCCCTTCCTCTCTAAAAAAATCAATGAATATATTTTTTTAAAAAAAAGAAAAGAGAGGCTTGGAGAAAGGGGAGAGAGGCTCGATGGAGGGACTCGGGGTGCTCCCTCTCCCCATGGAGAATTCTGTCTTTGTGTCCACAGAACGCCTTGGGAAGTACCCATTGAGAGAAATTAAATCGGACCTTTGACAGTCATCTGACTAAAGGCACTATTAACTTCTTGATCCCATTTATATGTTTTTCTGTTGATATTCCCACTAAATAAGTGCCTCCACTATTGAATTTTTTATTTGAAATGACGTTCTGCATCATTTTAGAGGAAAAGAGGCAGTCAGAGTCATCACTTTTTAGTATATATTATTTAATTATCTGTTTACAGATTATTGTTGAAATCAACTTTTTCTAGAAATTACCCTCTTGCCCACGGTTGCTTTCTTTCTGTCTTCCCCGGACCTCAGAGAGGCCACAGGCGGTGTCTCCTCATACAGGCCACTCTCCATTCTCATTGACGTGTCATCAGTCCTACTTGAGTAGATTATCTGTTTGGGGATTTGTCTGTTTCATAGGTTAGCCTTGATTTCCCTTCCCCTGCCAGGTGGCTGGGCCCTGGGTCACTGACGTTGGGGCCGGTCTAGAGAAAGGAATCACCAGGGTGTGCCACCCGCTGCGTGGACCGCAGGCACCACAGTCCGGGGGAGGATTGCGTGGGACTCTGACTCCGGGAGGCGCAGGGCTCTGTTTTCTCGTCCTCTGAGGTGGGCTTTCCTCAGGAGCAGGGCAGCGGGACCAGGACTGCCAGCCCCACTCGCTGCTCGAGCAGTGATGGGGTCGTGTCTGTCTGCTCTGCTTTCACACACTTTCACCCCGAGCTCCACCCCTTCTAACCCTGGGTCTCCAGGTCCTTCGGAGAGACCCGCCACTTCTTTGAGAGGGGGCTGCGTCTCTGGGTTGAATGTAGGAATCTTGTGAGGAGTTCTGGGAGATTGGGTGTGAACACAATGCCTCCAACCAGTCTCACACAGCCCCCAGGATCCTTGACAGGCCTGGGTGTCGTGATTAGATTTACTGGATAGATAAGCGCCCTGGGACTTAGCTGTCAGTTCTCTCCCATTCCTACAGCATCGGCAGTTCAGTCCTCGCTGCACTTCACGAGGTCAGTGTGCTGTCTCAGGGTGGCGGAGGAGGCCTCCGGCCAGCAGTCTCTTCCGGGAAGGGAATTCAGGAGTCTCTGCGCAGCCCTTCTTGGTCCAATCCCCCTCTTCTTCCTTCAAGTCTAGCCTCTGTGTCCTGATTGCGGTCCTTAGAACGCTAATGTGGCTTGGCTGCTGCAGCAAGAAGCCTTTTGCCATTTGCATCAATCTCAAGATAGTTGACAGGAAATTTTATTTTATTTTTTATAAAATAGCTCCCTTTAATGTCTCTCCTCCTTCCTTCTGCTTAACATTTCCTTTCAGAACCTGAGCAGGCTGGAGGAGAAAGAGAAGGAGGTGGTCAGTGCCTTGCGCTACTTTAAGACCATTGTGGACAAAATGGCCATTGACAAGAAGGTGCTGGAGATGCTCCCCGGGTCGGCCAGCAAGGTGCTGGAGGCCATCCTACCGCTGGTGCAGAGCGAACCTTGCATCCATCACAGGTGAGTCACTCTGAAGCCCTTGGCCGTGCCAGAGCAGTGGAGGCCTCGAGGCATCTTGATTTGGGGAGCTTCACACTAAGGCTTCTCGGCAGGGGAAAGGCGCCCTCTCCCCGCCCCTCGGCTATGGCTCGTTGTTCCTCAGGAGACTGCACAGGGAGGAAGAGCTCTGCCATCACTAGGGACAGCCCGTGCAGCCTGGGTCATTTTTGTATTAGTTCATTGGCAATAATCACAGGGATTTGGACCCTTCTCTCATGCACCCTAGGGTAACGTAGTGTATTATGGCATTAAGTTCTGTCAGCATCCAGCCTGTTAGAGCCTCAGCTGCTCAGATGGTGACACAAAAGGTAGAGAAGAGCCCCTTAGAGCACAGCTTGGTGAGACACTTAACCGAGTGAAGCTAGGATCTCGCAGATGGCACGCTGTCCCTGCGAGCGGTGAGGGTGGAGGCAGCTGGCCCAGCAGCTTCTGTGGGCAGTGCTTTCGCTGCTGGAGTGCACTTTCCTCTGGGAGGTTAGCCAGCGGCTTGACGCCTATTTGCCGTTGAGCATGGAGAGCAAAGCCTCATTAAATGTATGGTAAGTGAAAGGCCAGCAGGGGCTGTTCCTTGAGAGGCGGGGGCTGCCTGCCGGCTGGCTTTTCTCCCTGGTACCTGCTCAGAGGCGAGTCTCCTTCTCAGTCCTCCCGACACGGCGTGGGTGGGGCCCCTAGACTGTGCTCTCAGGAGCTGCTCCCAGAACCTGGCCAGCAAGTGCAGTTTTCTTTTCTGGGAGGCACAGCAAACACTGTCTTTATTTCCCAGACTAGTGGCTCGGTGCACGAAATTCGTGCACATTAAAAGTGAATTAATTGCCCTAACCGGTTTGGCCCAGTGGATAGAGCATCGGCCTGCAGACTCAAGGGTCCCAGGTTCGATTCCAGTCAAGGGCATGTACCTTGGTTGCGGGCACATCCCCAGTGGGGAGTGTGCAGGAGGCAGTTGATCGATGTTTCTAACTCTCTATCCCTCTCCCTTCCTCTCTGTAAAAAATCAATAAAATATATTTTTTTTAAAAGGAATTAATTAGTGGAGATATTTTAATATTGCTATTTGCCCTTTCTCTATAATAGAAGTGTGAGAGATGAAAGGAAATTAGTAAAATGTATATGAAAATAATATATAAATTTATTAATAAATAAACAGTAACAAAAGGATATAACAACAACAGAGGCATGA